CTGTCAATTAAACGAAGAATCAAGACATGAATGCTAATTCTTCGGCACCAAGTTCTGGTAAAAGTTCATCAGAACTCTGAGCATTTTATTTTCCTTCTTTTTTAGTGGTTTCCTTCAAATTTGTTAAGAAATACGATCTAGAATATATCTGTTTATATTTATTATGGTAACATGTCAGCAGGAAGCAGTACGACGAGTCCCTCGGTGTCCACGACAGAGCGAAATCTGGCACATCTTGTTTTTGTACAATTTTTCTGTTATCTTAGCTCTATAAATTGTTATTTTTATTTGTTATATATTTTTTTCTTACTTTTTGAAAATGAAATAGAAAATGTCTGGCCGTTTTGTGCATCTTTCTACAATTTCTCAGGATCTTAAGGAACATTCAGATAAGATACAAATCCGTCTCTACTCTGCATCCAATTTCATCCTCCAACATGGATTTGATGATCTACAAATCCCAGTTGAGCTTCTTATGCGAAACGATGTGGAATTTTACTTGATAGAAGGAGAAAGCGTAAGATTCTTCTGTCACTTGTGATCATTAGATAAAAATTGATTATTTGGACTTCTTTAAAAATTGTTCGTTTGGATTCTTAAATAAGAATTGATGACTTGGTTCCTTAGGCCCTTAGGGAATTCTTATGTGCAAGATTAATGGCATCAAACATGATGAATCTTGAAGATGACATTATAAGATTTCACCCGAATCAGGATTATGATAACCTCAGTGATGAGGTAATGATAAATTTTAAATCGTTGATTTTGACTTTTGCAAGGATCGTTTGTCAAGTTTTAACATATTATTAATTTAATTTTCCATTTTGTAGGCCTTGAACACAATCATAAGGGAGCACCTTCGACAAAAAGAGATGGACGCTTTACAAAAGAAAGACCCCATTTTTCCAAAAGGAACCGGGTTATCTTGGCAGTGTGTTACGCGGATCTTTGAAACGAGAATTTATGTATATAAGCCTGAGATCTCCGACTCACATAATTGCTCTATTTGTATGGTACGTAGTGTTAGATTTATATTTATATTTTTATTCTTAAATATTTTACTGATTTAATTATTGGATAAAACAGGAGGATTGTGAGAAAGATCAGGGTATTGCTAAATTGAAAAATTGTGAACACGTGTATCATAACAAGTGCATAATGAAGTGGTTGGAGGACTATCGTCTCTGCCCGCTGTGCAAAAAGTTGGTCTTACCAATAATAGCAGAATATCCTGATTGGGTGAACGATCTGGACAAAGTTCGTGCTTTTCTTAAACGTGTGTAGTAATATTGTTGTGAAGCTTTTAGTGTTTTTGTTTCATACGTTGAAAGGACTAAAATTTGTGTTTGCAAACTTAGTTGTTTAGTAACATGAATTTTTTCAATACACAATTCTACTGATGTATTTGTTGGTAGCTTTCTTTTAGATTCAATTCTCATAGCATCTTTTCTTCAATTTTCTTGAAATAGTTTCCTTTGAAGCAAGAAGTGAATGTTGCGCAATTTATTTAATCAATCGAATAAACAACTCTTCATTTAGGATTGTAGTTATAAAACACGGCACAAATCGGCCGGTCGGACAAGAAAAGTGGGCCCTTGATCGGGCCGAGTAGAATAATTTGACACAAGTGCAAATGACTCGGTAAAAAATCGTGTTTAATCTAGTTAACTGACGATTTTTTATTAAATCGCTCAGTTGACTCGTTTGACTGAATTTTCAAAAGTTTTGAAAATGAATTTGAAAAAATTACAAGTCCTAAAGAATCTGTACCAAAAAGGCTAAATATGCTCAGAAAAGGGTAATTTTTTTTTTTTCATTTAATTTGCAACTGAATTAAATGTAACATTTTATTTAAATGAAATATATTTTTGAAGACAAACTTGTAGTTTTAGCCTCTATTTGGTTTAACCAAACATTATATTTTTAGTAAATTTTGATAAAATTGATGAAATGTGTGATCAAAAAATTGATTGAAATTGTGAGTCTCATAAAATGTAAACTTGATTTAAATTTTTATCGATTTTTTAAATTAAATCGAACATAGGCCGCCCCTTTGTTCTATATCCCTAGCTGCTCAAACAGTTTAAAAGTGTTTGTTTGGTAAAGTTTTTGTTTGTTAAATAGCTAGTCAAATTTCATTTTTTTTTTTTTAAATCACACATTCATTTGATCCACAACTTTTAGGTATGTTTTCATCACAAATTTCATGGAACTATCGTCTTTTATTAACTTTTTGCCCGTACAACTGCTAATATTTTAACAGATGGCATTGACAAAGTAGGAAGATGCAGATAACACTGTTAACAATTTTTAGCTGCACTGGGATGAAAATTGTAATACTTGTGTATGTTAAGGCTTTTATAGCTTTCTCACTTTTCATTTTCCTGTAAAATTCAAGGACAAGGTTGTACTTTTCACATTGCAGCGTTACCTTTCAAACTAACCTCTTGTAAATAAGAGCAAGACTCGTGTTTTAAGTAGAATATAGAGATCTACCAGGAAGACTCATCTGCATCAATGTCCACTGAGAATGTCTTGGATATTACCCTTGGATTACTCGAGCTTCATTTTCATCTAGAAGTCGAAATTATTAAGCGAATGTATAGCGTCCTGCAAGAGCCATTACAATATCAGTACGGCAGAGACATTATTGACTAAAGAGCTGTTTGAGCCTCATTATTTTGCTAAAATACATTTTGGAATAGTGATTTGATGGAGAAATTGTGGTTAAAAAATAAAGAAAAGTTTTGAATTTGCGTGTAATATTATTTTATTAAAAAATGTGTGATTGAAAATAAGAGAGAAAAAAAAATATATTTTTTGAAAATAATGAGAACCAAATAAGGGTTAATAATATTAAAATTTCTTTTAGCAAGCATAGTTTGACATAAGATTCTCAAATCTCAAGGCCGGCCTGACCATAACCATAACTAAGACAATTTATACTTGGCAAGTCTTCACGTAGACGCCATTGACATCATTAAAGCAGGCAGGAGTCGGGATTGTTGTGATTTTCATTCCAATTTTTGCGTCTATGTTCGTATTGAGATCTTTAATAAAGTTAATATTTTGAACCAAATCAAAGTAGACCGTAATAATATCTCTACGTGCTGAAACTGAACGATAAATTAGCCTCAGGCCCTCAGTTTGCATTCTACAGAATAAGTTGAAATACTAATCAGCAATTCGTTCAAATTTAACATTTCCTTCGTCCTACCAACACTGTTACGTTCTTCCTCTTTTTCAGTAACTTCGTGAAGTCAGTGAACCGGGCAGTAGTTTGAGCCCGCAATTCCTCTAAGCTCTTACCTTCTTCGGCTCTTTCAAGAACCTGAAAAGCAATCAGGCAGTTAAGAGTTGCACTAGAGCATACACCAAAATATGCCTAAGTTACTAGGCCAACTTACCAGATGACGACCATACAAATGGGTGTTTGAGAGATCTTGAAGGGGATTCTGAGATTCTAAAATTACATGCCTAAGAAATTTGACACTGCCAATGAGCCCCCACCCACCCCTTCGTTGAACGTTCCACTTGATCACATCTTGATGAAAGTAGAAAACAGAACAAGTGTCAGATCTTTTCCGAGTATGAATTGTTGAAAATTGCTTACTGCAGCTAAAATTTGGATTTTAAAAAGAGCCTAGCATTTGTGGGGAAATTAAGAGGTAAGAATGAAGGGAAGCAGTGATACACACAATCTGCTACTTGCAATTTAAGCATGCCGAAAACGCTACAAATACAAATGAGAAATGGGACAGAAATTGGAGGTCCATGTCGAGCTGAAATAAGTTACAACATAGTTTCAAGCTTGACGTCAGCGGACAATCAAACTTAAACCTTTTCAATAGAAGAAACACCAAATACCAAAATTAAAAGAGGGTACAGAAATTTATGATCAGGTTACTTTTTTATCTCAATCATGCAGACAAAAGCAAACATGGTTGAAAGGAACATAGTACATGAAGTTCAGTTTGAGCTCTAAAAGAAGGTAACATAATTAGGCATAACGGCAAAACAATAGCAGCATTTGCTATTTCCTTCCTCCAGCATTTCCAATTTTATTATCACTTCCAGTAGCAAAAAGATTTATTGAAGTACAAGTTAGAAGGCAATTGAGAAGGAGAAGTTTATCAAATAATAGTTAAATCAACAAAACATAGTATTCCTCAGTCAAAAGTTCAGATTATCTACGCGTCATATTTATTGCAACGAAAAAATAAAGGAAAAACAGAATCATTTCATCACAGCATAAAATGTGAATTATCTACACATCATATGTTGTTGCAACGAAAAAATAAAGGAAAACCAGAATCATTTTTTCACAGCAAAAAATGAGAGACTACTTGGCCAAATGGGCTAAACAGTTCTCTAAGATCATTTTCTGTTGCTTCAAAAGCTACATTCCTTGTGATCAATTTCGTTGAACTCCTGTTGCTGTCAACTTTTTTATGTTGATGTTCATCCTTTTTAGCACGACAAAGTTGCAATCCGAGGGCATGCCAGTGCAAATTAGTTCTCTAGGGTGAGAAGGAAGGTGAGAAACACACATGAAGATTGTCGTCAAATGCAATTGATATACACCAAAATTAGCAGCAGTTCAGAATATTACCTGCAGATCCCTGCAAACTTTCACTGCTGTATCAACAGATTCGAAATCTAAGAAACCAAAACCCTTTGAAATGTTCTTTCCATTTTTGAGATGCTTCTTTACCTCAGTAAGAATAAAAAAGAATAGAAGAGAGAGCACTGATGACAACAGCAATAAATGCAATAATAGAATGTACTAAACCGGTAGTGGTACAAATTGGCAGAATCACGAAAGACCTACCCTGACACTTAGTATTCCTCCCTCGGACCGTGCTACCCCTGGCAGTGCCAGGGGGCCTTGGCAAAGTGGATAAACCCTCCTCCTTCCTTCACGTGCTCTGTGAAATGTCTTTTCAAGTTCTCGTCTGACGTTTTGAGATTCAGGTTCTTTACATATAATGAGCGGGACTGCAACTCACAACAATAAGACAAAAAGATTGACTACCATTAGTAGCAACTGTGCTAAGTAAACATCAATATAACTTGAGACACCTAAAAAGTGCGTCCCAATATCTTGCACTATAAGTTAGGGAAAATGTCACAGGAATCTTAATGTTTTTGCACTTTATTCCTTCTACCTCTTACTATCAACAGATAACTTGGCAAAAAAATAAAAATAAATAACTAGAACTTGCAAATCTATATTGCATCAAACAAAAGTAGCATTAACAATGCAAACGGCCTATCCCCGTTCTGAAAGCCATATAATTGATTGGAAGCAGGTCAACGTGGAATATTTATAAAGAATTAACAGGATTGATTTATAGATCATTCGAAAGTTTTTCATCCAATTATTAGCACTTTTGGCNTCATCCAATTATTAGCACTTTTGGCAACTTACTGAAAATGAAAGAAGTTGCAATAAAGCCTATAACAGCCCATGACAAACATGTGGCGAGCAAATGAACTTACTTGTAGCACTTGTAATGTAAACCTTTAAAGATGAAAATGCGTCTGCTGGTTCAATTGAGATAACCTGAAGTATCAAGAATGAAATAATCATAAAATGAATAATTACTTTCAGGAATGAATTTTTGTAAGTTCAATAATCACTAAAAGCAATTTCCACTTCACAATTATAAATATATGATTGGTGCATGAAGAAAATCCAATTTCACTAAACACAAGGACAAAAGATGCCAGGACATTAGCAAGCTACCAAAGTATATTCAAGTTATCTGTTATTTCACTCGTCTTAATCACTTAGTAAAGATAGCTAGGCTAGTTCCAGCCAATTACATCTCATGAGGCAAGCCGATCATCATTATCAGGTAGTAATACATGTCAGGTTTTACAAGTTCTAAGTCAGCAACGGTCATAGAATGTTTTTGACAGAAGGCTCTATATCATTCAATTTCAAAACCAACAATGCTTTAGTAGCGAAGGTTACCGTTAACCTCCAAAAATCCGTTCTGCGAACCCTATCGCACTCCCTGCGAAGTATGTAATCGTATGCAAAGGGAAAGAAAGCATGAAGGGTTCACTTAATAAGATGCGAGCCCTCTTTTCGTCCAGGCTGGCCACAAACTGTCAATTTGCTCATAAAATAGGATATGTGTAATGGAATCAGTTATCACGCATCCAACAAGAAGTCGCCAACTGTCGTTCCTCTAAAATGACCAAACTATCCCAGAGCTTGGAAAGAAATCTATAAATACCCCCTCATTTGAAGAAGAATGTATGCAATTCAATATCTCCCTCTCAAATAGCTATTTTACTTTTTACTCCTGTTCAAGCATCCAAATTAGTGAGTTTAGAAAGTGACAGTTATAGCTAAGTGAGCAGAATTTGTTGATCTAATTTTTAGCATCAACAAAGTAGCGCCGTCTATGGGAAACTTTCCGAACAAAGGAAACCACAAGTCCTTATACCGAAATTGAGAAACCTTAAGGATTTGGAAAGATGAATGTAGTAGAAACATATCCGGATGCAGTCGAAATGTTAAAAGTTGGGACCAAAAAATCCAACAATGATTCAGTCAAAAGTGACATTAATCCAAAGAGGAAGCGAGAAAAAATGCCGGCAAGATCTCAAGCTGATATTTCCTTGTTTGATACCATCGTCAGAGGAAGGGAGTGCCTACTACGGAGGCAACTCATGAAATGACAAAAAAACTAAAGGCGTTAGTAGCGAAAAATGTGTATCTACACACAAAGTATGAGAATCCAAAGATGAGCTGGCAATGAAAGAAAAATCGGAGAAAACCAACGACTGATGCTAGGTTTTTCGCCAAAGGCAATAACGGAGTGAAGACATCACAGGCTTGCCGTGTTGCTCGTGCAGGAAAGTGGTAAAACCCGCAAAATAGCAGATCCTCAATAAACGGACTGGTGAACAAGGAAAACTCTCACGACTTGAGGTATAACTAGAGGAAGACTCAAAGGATGGAAAATCTATAACAGTTTCTATAACATCCACTTGCACAAAAAGCAGGAGGCCAATCCATAACGGAGAAATGTGAAAAGGAGAATGTGATGTATTAGCTCCCGACAGATGTAACCAATGACTAGCTTCCTCATCAACTAGCTAGTCTCGAAATAATACAACCAGCTACAGGGCTTAAAGCTAAAATTCTATATTAATGAGATTACGCCAGACGAGGAAGCCAGATATGCTATGTGAGATGGCCTACTGCCAAACACCTCCTTCTAGATAGAGGCTCGCAAAAGGTATCCATTCTCCTTTCCTCAACTAATAGATCTTATATTTAACAAGATCCAAGTAGAGGACATTTTGGAGAATCAAAGGATGACCAAAGGTCGGAAAGCGATGGAACAAAATCCTGCTGAGGAGATGCAACGACGTTCACGTCTGGATTGTCTAGATCACAATGTCACAGCTCAAAGGAGTCCAAAGACTTGATGCAAGCATTTGCCGCACTCTACTTGCAAGATAATGGCGAAGCCTATCTCTCTCCTAAGAAATAGAGAGCGAAATTGTGCAAAATCCATTACACCAACAGTCATGATACGGATGAATGCCACGAAGTGCTAAAAATGACCAAAATGCGGAACAAGCAGAGAAATATGGCTATCACACCAGCAGACCAAATGCCTACACATCCGATGAGGCACATTAGGGTTGGGCAAAACCCGCCC